GTCTCTCTCCTCCCGCAGTCAGAACTGAACCACCGCGTGCACCTCCTCTTCGACGCCCCCACCAAGATCATCACCATGCCCGCCCCCAAGGTCACAAAGACCTACCCCCGCCAACAACCCAGCTACGAGACCACCTCCCCCCTGCCCCTCACGACCTGGGGCGAGACGGTCCGCGCACCCCTGGGCTACGTCGTCTACGGCCGCTCGGGCGACAAGGCGTCGGACTGCAACGTCGGCTTCTTCGTGCGCCAAGACGACGAGTGGGAGTGGCTGCGGTCTCTGCTCACCGTCGACAAAATCAAGGAGCTGTTGGGCGAGCAGGAGTACAAGGGCAAGCCCATCGACCGGTTCGAGATCCCCGGCATCAGGGCGGTGCATTTCCTGCTGCACGATCATCTGGACAGGGGGTACAATGCTTGCAGCAATTACGACACGCTGGGCAAGTTGGCTGGGGAGTATCTCCGGTCCAAGACGGTTGATGTGCCCAAGGTGTTTTTGGATAGGGGGAGGATATAAGCGGCTGGCGGCTGGCGGTTGAGGTAAGATAGATTATACTTCAACCAGGCAATGGATTCTCAGTGGCACTAGTAGTAAGCTGGAAGTCGTCTTGTTTTTGTTTTCCGTGAACAAATGGCTGCTGGTCCCTTTCTACTCTCCGTATATTTGTGAACTTCTGGGCGAAACCAACTTTGCTTCGCCCTATCAAGTGTGAGGTAGTTATGATATTTCATGTTATGAAGCAGTCAACGGGTCTTCGATTCGAACAGTGATCGTTATACGAAGTAGTACAGTTGATCCCTGGAATTATTGTTAATTTGGAACTGCGGACAGGGAGCCCTTGTCAGAAACGGAAATACAACAGTTTCGCACTCGGAAACACTAGAGCATCCTAATAAACAGTATAGGGAAGATTTACTCTCGTTTATCAAGTGATTGAGCTCGTCTTTCAAGCGGAAAATCCGGTGGTGGTTGAGTTGAGTGCGAAGCTTCTTCTTAAAAACCCCCTGTCGCTCGGTATTATACTAACAATAAAACCAGGGAAGGTTTGTATGTTGCAGTGCCGTGCCTACGTAAGAGTTTATGCCCGAGCTCTGCCGGGTGATGGATCAAATACAGTACGACCTTGGTCATGATCTGGGTTTAAGTTTACCTTGCCTGGCTCTTTGCGTACAACTGTCGTGCGAACTTTTGTTGTACTCACCATTCCGCCCAGTGCTTGTTTGAGTAAGGTAAGGTAAGGTACCTTACCGTATGGTTCCATGTGAGTATTTCGGGGAAGGGAGGGTCCTTGGACCTCGCATGGCATCCATGGTTCCCCAGTCGATCAGTCTCGCGGGACCGTTGAGAACAACCTAAAGCTTGCTCTTCGACCTCATATGTTTCCGCAATGGGTCAGCCGTACTCTCATGTCCGTGGTTCCGCGGCGCCACTTTCAACGCCAACAGCACAGTCGACTGCGCCGCCGCTTCTGAATCTCCCGGTCGAACTGCTCCTGGCGATCACGGACCATCTCTCTCTCACTCCCGAGTCAATCATCGCGCTCTCGTTAGCATGCAAAGCTCTGTCGGCCATCCTACAGAACGATGTAGCAAAGCTCACGACCCACGGCAGCAATCTCAAGTGGAAGGGCAAGTTTCTAAACTTGCTAGAGAGGGACCTCAGCGACAGTCTCTTCTACTGCTCCATATGCCTCCAACTAGATCGCTTCGAGGCCAACGGCCGGATCAAGCATTCACGGCCCTTTGCTACCATACTAACACAGCTCTCCCGCCAGCTGTTCTGTCCTGGTACCTCCGACCTTCAACTGTGCGTAACTTGTTTCAAGCCTTGGCTCCTTATACTACAGAAAGCTAAAACATACAATCGCCACGAAATAGGTCCTTTGCCCACGCCCGCCTGATGATGAACCGCCACCTCTACGGCCCGCCGGTGGGCCTGCCTCTGTCGAGCCTTACTTTGGGCAACACGAAGGCGAACTGCGACGGCTTCGCGTGGACCTACACCACCTCGCGCGCCCTTCTGGCGCGACAGTACCTCTCCGCCCCCATCATCGACGACGAACTCTTCCTCCGCATAACGCACGTGTTCGAGGGGACCGAGACCGGTCTGCGGGAGGCGATCGATAGACTGGGTGGGACCTATCGCATCTGCACCCACGTCAGGCCCGCGGCGACCGATGGGTACGGTCACCGCAACGGGATGCGGAGGGTGGCGGCTTTGACGGACCCGGAGGAAGAAGGCGGGCAGGAAAGATGGTTCGGCCTGTGGCTGGCTGGCAGACCGTCCGTTTTCCGGACGTGTCGGGATGTGCTGCAGTCGTGCACTGCATGCTTGACTGATTTTACCACCTCTGTTGAGCGTGGTGAGGTGAGAGAGGTGTTTGCCCTGCCGCAGATAGGAATTGAGGTAAGTTATCACCACGTTAGACCATTGTGGCGGAAAAGAACCCCCGCTGATCTTGATATAGCCAGATGTCGGACCAGTCGTCGGTGGGCGGCGTGTTGTCATCACGGCCTACCATGGCGTTGGAGGGTGTCGAGATGCGGAGGATTGGAATTGGGCGAGCATTGTCGGCGAAAACACGGGACCAGGAGAGGACTTCTCTGCGGCTCTCGGCGGGCGGGATATGGTGGCATTCCCGGCCGGATGGGTGAAGCAATCGTGGCAAGCAGAGGCTCATCAAGAAGACGGTCCGGCCGACCTGTTCACCTGGCATGGAGCGGTAACGGACGTCAGGGACTTGAGGATGACTCGGAAATGTCACAAGCAAAGCAAGGGCGATCTAGACAGTGAAGCTGTAGTGGCCGGACAACCCTGATCAAACACCAAGGTTACTCGTGCGATCAAATCAAGATTAGTGAGGTCAACAGCCAATAGAGCGACAGGAGGGCGAGCTCACCTTGTGATTTCAGCTCGTCTAAGCTTCGCCTTCGGGAGGCTACTAGACCCCAACACCACGGTGAGGTGCGAGCTGTTCGTTGGGGGACGGCACCTTGCGGCACCGCCCCACGGTTCTGTTCGGTCAAACCGTGGCGGACCCTTGCGGGCTATCCTAGCCAGAGGTCGTGGCAACATCAGAAGGCTGACGAGAACCGCCAGCTTTCTGGGACTGCGTTTGGTCGGCAAGGTCTGCACACCCAGGGCGACGAAAGCGCACTTCTGCGACGAACTCCGTTGGAACGGGTGCGTCTTGGAGGCGAGCCATTATGACGGTGACCACGTTCCGGATCTCCCCCAGTTCTTTTTTGGTATCGGTCTGCAACTGGAGGGTTGTCTTGCCTTGCTCCCGGAGATCCCCCAGAAGCTTTTGAATGTTGACGAGTGCTTCCAGGGAACGTTCGTCGTAGGATTTGTCCGACTTTGATGTCGGTGCCCGGTTAACGTCACGGAGACGGAATTGACGAATGGTACGAACCACCCAAAGAAGAGGAGCTTGAAAAAACCAGGCGCTCAGAGTCGCCACAAGGACACCAATGGTGGCCCGACGGCAGACCAAGATTCCAAGAAAGAAGACATGATTGTTGGCGTTTGTGTAGAAATATATGGCCTGGACGGTTTGTGGAAGAGAACAGTTAGAAGAGGAGAGGCAAGAAAATCCGAAAGAGTCATTATTTATAGACAGGGGAGGGGCTCGGATGCCCAGATGTCATTCCGTGTGTGCAGAGGTGCAGAATTGCAATTGAGGTCATGCGTCACAAGGAGACTGCTATTTTCCTGCAATGCCGGGCATTGGCTTGCAAACTCAACAACGATTTTTCCGCGTACGAGAGTATTCTTGGATAAACAGAGGAGACGGGCACTCCAGTTCCGACTGACAGAGTGCCTTCCTCATAAGACAACACGAGAAAGGGACGCCACGGTCACCCGGGGAAGGAACGAGTTACCTCATACGCCCGTGGTCAGATACCCCCCCCCCCCCCCCCCCCCCCCCCCGGCGCGATCTCAGCGTCTCAAGATCCCGCAGAAGGTGCTATTTCAGGCCCCTTGTGCGTCACGGAAGGCATGTCCACAGCAGCAGCAGTCCGAAATGTCCACTTGCCTCCTCGACGTGAGTTCCGAAGGGTTAGAAGTTGGCTGTTTCTCGGAGGTTGCAACCATGGCCTCACATGGGCCCGGTCGAAGAAAGAGTCCCATCCCCTCGACATCCAGTGGATATCAAGACTAACCCCCGCCGTTGGCTGAGTGGCATATCCCTGATTGGGCAACTGCCCCTTTTCTTCGCCAGGCGAGGAGTGTCATTGTACCTTCCTCCTGCCGAGCATCTCTATCACCCTCCTCACCTCGCCGGGCAGTAGCATCTCTGAACATGAGGTGCCCACCTACGCCCGTGCCGGAGGGTGAAGCCTGCCTGAGGGGGGAAAAGAAGACAGAAGAGACCCAAAGACAATGGAAATGAGTCAAGTCAGGTTACCAAAAGTCTTTCCTGCTGTGACCCTTACATCCTCCCGTCCCTGCCTAAGTGAACAACGACGGTGTAGGTATGTGTAGCGGAGAAAGAGGTCGATCTGTCATGGTCGGATAAGGGGGCGCTCGTAAGAACTATCAACAAAAGCTTCTCGTTTTCGGTCCGATGGTGTAGTTTGTTTTACAACGTCAGTCTAACACAGTGAAGGTCCCCAGTTCAAGCCTGGGTCGGATCACACATCGAGGAGCATACCGACTCTTTCTGCCGTTTCTCTCTCCTCTTTCTTGGGCTGTTTGTGGTTTAGATGTGGGCATAGATGGGGTGGAGTGAGAGCAGCGGTGTCATTGAGTCGGGGGAGATGGCGTCGTGTCGAGATGACGGTTGCGAGAAGTGGTTGTTTCCTTGTTGCTCATTCTGGCCAAGATGCGGTCGACAGCAAAAAGAATGAACTTGAACACATCGAGCGGTGTCGTTGTTCGTAGTAGGAGGCAAAAGAAGTATCTCGGATACGGGGAGTCGAACCCCGGGCTGATGAGTGAGAGTCATCGATGTTACCGCTACACCATACCCGATAAGCGACTAGAAAGTCGGGAGTTGAACAGAGTGGGATTCGAACCCACGCCTCTTGCGAGACTACGAAAGCGAGGTCGATCACCTGGAGAGGGTGAAATAACCTGAACGTAGCGCCTTAGACCGCTCGGCCATCTGTCCTTTGTTGATTTGATGAGAGCAGGGGACGTTATTGGCGGTTGTGGATACCCTCCCTGAGTCGCCGGACGGTTAGTAGGTAGAGAGGGTTGGGGACGAGACGGTGGATGTGAACTATGGAAGAGTATGAAAGACGGGTGGAGACGTGGAGGAACAGAGGGAGGAAGAGTTAGAGAAGCCTCAGAGTGGTATCAATATTCGCGGACATGCAGCCCGGGAGAGAGAGCCGCGGCCAACACAGCCACTTCGTCCATTTCTTTTGCTGTCCCAATATTTACAACAGCTTGGGATATCAAGACTGCTCATTCCCCTCAGAGCTGTATCAGTCACCGCTCGTCTGTCTAACCACTGACCCCCATTCTTCTCCAATTATTCCCACATACCAACTTTCCAGAGTAGAGTAGTAAAGACCGTACTTGGCGCCGTCGTCGTCGGTCCAGAAATGCCGGAACAATGCCGGCGGCGGGCAGATCGTGTGCGTCGTGAGTGGTTATTTCGGCCACAAAGGAGGTCGATCGTCCCATTCGCCAAAACGGCGGATAACGCCCAACGCCGCAGCTAATAGGTCTCGCCGCCCCGATGCATTCCCAATATCGTGCGTGCCTAACGGAGCGAGTAAGGGCAATCCCTGCATTTCCGACCCCTATCTTCAACGAGTGTGTGGGGAATCAAATAGAACAAGCCGAGTATCGTCGTCGGGCCGGAAGATCGGGCGGACGGACGGTTCCTGTCATCTAAACGCCTGCATTGTATGTGAGCGGTCATAAGCCCGCTATGACCCCTTTATGAACGCCTTAAATATGTTCGTGGAGTGTCCGCTACCAAGCGGACCCAAAGTGATTGGTAAAATCGTGCTTTTCGTAGCAAAAGTGCAGCCAGCCCTGTTGGCCAAAGCGACTCGTCCTCTTGCTAGAGAATGCCTGAGTCCTTGAGGGCATTGTTTAGAATCGTTTCCTTGACGGCGGCGAAGACTAGTCTGATGTTTGATGTGTCGGTAGCTTGTGTGAGGCTGGGGGCTGTTAGCTTGTGCATCATTTGTAGTTAACTGCCGACTGCTACTTACTGAGGATAGAGGTTCAGATGTGCCCGGTTAACTTGGTTAAACCGCCACAGGAGATATTTCGCCGCCTTGTTGACGTCGCTGCCGCCAGAGTAGTCGGGGAAGTAGTTCCCCAGCGGTGACCTAGACAGCTTCTGCTTGAAGATGTCGACCTTGTTCAGGAAGAGAATGATACTCGTCCTCATGAACCACCTCGAGTTGACGACTGAGTCGAACAACAACAGGCTCTCCATCATCCGGTTCTGTCCAGTGTGTTAGAGTCCTCTCGCTTTTCGTGGGTGCCGTTCGTAAGCTTACCTGGCTGCTCTCTTCCAGCAGCACCTGGTCGTATTCACTGAGCGCGACGCAGAATATGATGGAAGTGACATTTTCGAAGCAGTGAATCCACTTCTTGCGTTCGCTCCGTTGTCCGCCGACGTCGAACATGCTGAAGGTCGTGTTAGTCACCTCCACCGCGCTGAAACGGCGCTGGGCCGACTTACTGTATGCTAAGTTGCCCCATCTGGAATCGTGTCTCGTATATACCGGTCGTCTTCGTTCTTGCCCGCAGCACGTCCATTTCGTTAGGGAGGTAGTCGGGGCTCACAATCCTCTCCGCCTCTTGGAAGAAGCTGTCGCACGAATGGGGTCAGCAATCGCCCTCTATCTCCATCTAACAAGTGGTATGCTTACTATTCCGCTGAATCCATCAGATAGAACTCCGTCTGCCGTTCCATCAGCTGGTCCTTGGCGGGATCGTTCCATATCGATATCACCGCCTGGCCAACCTTGGGATCCAGTTCGGCCTGCGGGCCGGGCTCGAGCGTGTAGTTGAGCAAGAACTCACTGTAATCTTTGTTGACCTCGTTTACTGGGTCGATCTCGAATTGTCGCATGGCGCCGACGACGGCCTTGGCGCATTCGATCAGGTTCTTGAAGATGGTCGGTCGGTAGTTGTAGAGCTCGTCTTCGCTGTAGCCCTTCAGGTGGATGATCTTCATCTGCTTCACGATGGTCGACTTGCCGCTCTCGCCGGAGCCTGCGGAACCGGGTATTAGTAACCATTTGAGGTCTGCATTTCCCTCCAGCAATCCGACGGCCGCATTGCAGTTGTGTGGTGGCATACCTAATAGTAGAATCTTGCATTCTCTCCGCAATCGTTTCGAGTCCTCCTCGAGATCCTTATCAATCTTCTGACTCCTCTTCTTCAACTCGGCCTCCTCGCTGCTTGAGCTCATACATGCCCCCATGGTCATGGGTTACGACGGCTCGAATGGCGAAACCCCTTACGTGTTGTGTTGTATTCCGGTACGGCCGGGACGGGATGTATCGGTGCGCGATCCTCGACGGTTCTTTCTTCGGTTTGTTGGCCGGGTCCGAGCTAGAGCCCCATGAGAGCGGATGCGATTGTTCCTTCGAAACTGTTGTCTTCGGGCGGTGTGATTGTCTTGGCCTGACCTCGAGGGAAGACCGAGACAAGGAGGTGATATGTGATAAAGGGGGCCGCTGCAGAAAGCTGCAATCGGTTGCTGTGTCGAGACGGGTAGCGGCAGGCGGCGTCCAAGATGGGCGGTGGAGGTTGGATGTTGGTGGAACCGACGTGTCGAATTCGATGCCGTCGTTGTCGTCTCTCTCTCTCCGACCGACCCGTCTATTCTCCCGAGATCGACCGGGAGGAGGGTAAAGAAGCGGGAAGAGAGGGAAATGTTTGTCGAGACACTCGAGATTGCGAAGTGTGTTTTATCCGAGCAGGTGGTTCGGTTTGACACGGGGTGCGGTAGAGTAGATGGGTGGTACAAGATAGCAAGCTGTGGCCCAAACGGTGGTGTGGTGGGCGGTAGGCGGCGAACGTTGAAGGTGGATTGAATTGCTTGTGTGGGATGGGCGGCGCAAGCAAACATGTACGAAAGTGAAGGAGGCGTGTGCTGCCGAGGTGAAGCGCAGGATGAATGGATGGCCGGTGCCCCCAGGTGGATGTGTGCAGATGATGAGATGCGAAGAAGGCTTGTGGCTTTTCGGGATCAAATGGATACAGTAAGTACCTTTCTCTTCCTCGGCGGAAATGCACGAATGGGCAGCCAAATGCGTAATAAGTGAGACTGCGGGGAAGAAGTGTGAAGTGTGAAGTTGCTTGCTATGGAATCCAGACTCCGCAAACTTTCAAAAACCATCTACGATGCTGGTACCATCCCGTATGCGCTCAAGATCTCAGCGGGTGATGAGGAGAAGGAACCTGGAAGCGCTGCAGAAATGCAATGTTGCAGATTGCACCAGCAGAAAGAAAAGAGACGATCAATCAAGATCAACCAAAGACAAAGTGAGAGAGCACGCATCAAGCTCCGGTCTAGCCTGATGATGATGGCCTGCCAGGCATGGAGCATCATGTTAGGAAGCTACCAGCCACGTCCACTTAAACCTCGTTCTCGTATTTGTACCGCGCTAATGATGTCGCCGAGGAGCAGCTTGCTTGCACTTGCTTTTCCGTGGCTTGGAGCTCATGGCACTAGGGCGGGCGCTAGGGCCTAAAGCGGCAAGTGGCAAGCGCCTAAACGTCTCCGCACTCGACTTCATCACCGCTAAACCGCTCGATCGAACTCCATAATTAGCTGCCTATCCGTCTTTCATCCCTGGTTCCGACCGGGAGTGCCAGGAGTGCAAAAGCCAACACATGGTCATCTTCAACAGGAATGTAGAATCAAAGCATTTTTATCCAAGACCCAGACACCGGAACGAGCAAAACAGGGGGAACTCACTCATCGGGAATCACCACGACTCGGGGGCTACCTTAGGCGAATAGCAGATTTTCCCTCTCGTTAGACAATCCCGATGCCGAGAAGTGAAGATCTAGACCGTCCTCTCCGGCGGGTTGTCTCACCTTATGGCATCTTGCCCTCTGACGCATTTCGTGATGCACAAGCACCCCCAGCGCTGGATGGGGTCAAGAATGCCAAAGTCGAGAAATCGCATCACAGCCATCGCAAGCTTGTTCTGTTCCGGGGAAACCTGTCTCTTTCTGTCTCTCCCGGATCTCCCATTCCCGTCCCTCGGGCCTGGACTCGACTTCGATGGGCCCCAAGCCCGCCAACCGGGACCGATCCGCAGTTCGAGCAGTTCGCGGCCTTCATCTGAAAGAAACGGCGCCATCCCTGCTTTGTGCGCATCGCAATTTTAGTCAGAAGCTTGTCCAAGATCCCCAGCCTTGCGGTCCCTGCCAGATCATTGGCGAGCGTACGCTGCTCGGCTGTCCCAAGATTCATCAAATATGTAAATGTGAGCCTTGTCGAGATTTATCGAGACCTGGGACCATATTGGTCCCGACTGCACGATGGCACGACGTCTCAGAGCAGCCCAGATCTTAGACAATGGGCCTACACGTGTAGATCATGGCTCAACCACGTGTCGTTCCACATCGTGCACCTGTGCTGCTCACAGACCAACAAGCAGGAAGTACCAGGTTGTCCCACTATCAACGACAATCTGGAAGTTATGGACAACACACCGTCCAAGCTTACCATTTGGATGCTCCCCGATCCCCTGAAACTCATCTCCATGATCGACGAGATTCAGCCAGTGTTCGATGGACCTCCACATCCGGGGTAATGAAAGGGCCAGAAAACCTGAGAGGTGGGTGGCCAGTCGCATCTGTCAATGGCCCCCTTGCTCCTCATGCAGCGCGACCCCTTGTTCAAGCAAACTTGTCAAAACTTCTCTCTTTCAGCTGGGCGCAACCGAGTCTTTTCTTTTCTTTGTTTGATTTGAGGGGAGGCAGAACCCTGACTGCTTGAGGAGATTCAATTGTCAATAGTTCAATACGGTTTTGAGGCTGTGATTGTTCTAGAGAATTGTTCATTGTTTCCATATCCTCAATATTCCCAGAAAAAATATGTGATTGATCATCTGTCAGACAGCCCGGTTCGACCACAACCTTCCAGAACTCCGTGCTTATTATTCTCCGTCAAACCTC